ATTGTATAGAATTAGTACCGTTATTATATAAGTCCAAAATACTCAATCATTTTAAGATCAAATGAGTGATTAACTCAGTTTACTTAAGTGTATACAACAATAAACAGATGTGTTGTTCATACTCAGTTCAGGGAATTACTCATGGTCAAATGATTTGAGTAACCTAAACTTAAATGGTTTAAGCAATTGGTTTCCTGAAACCATTTGAGTTTCCCTAGCTCATTAGGTTTTACAGTATACTATTAATATAATTATTTAAAACATTTGAACATCCTGCTACAACCCTTAAGTAATTTGCCTATCAATTATGCAGTATATACAGCAGTAATAAGCATTCCCTCTATATTCATTTAATATAACAGTACACATGGCAACACTTTTGGTGTCTCCTTCTGTAACTGCTCTAAAGAATTCTGGCTGTTTACTGGCCCCCAATAGTAAAGTGAAATATTCACCCACCCTAAAACCACATTCACTGTAATGAACTTCACTTCCACAACCAGATATTTCAGCCATAATCTCAAAATACAGCGCTCAGTAGAAAACAAGGTGGACATGACTGATAGAGCTAATAAACACGCCCCTCTAAAGCGCTGCAGGTCTGCGGGTCAAACCGCGCTACTGCACATCACCACGCCTTTTACAGTATTAGTGCTTTATCAGCTCAATGTTCCTCATAAACAGTAATGCGCTCTGAATTCAGACAAAACGCACAGCTATCAGCGTTAAATACGACTATATCTGTATTCACCGCTCAGTTTGCAGCGTTTATACATTCAGACCTTCACTCAAACGCACAGCTATCAGCGTTAAATACGACTATATCTGTATTCACCGCTCAGTTTACAGCGTTTATACATTCAGACCTTCACTCAAACGCACAGCTATCAGCGTTAAATACGACTATATCTGTATTCACCGCTCAGTTTATAGCGTTTATACATTCAGACCTTCACTCAAACACACAGCTATCAGCGTTAAATACGACTATATCGGTATTCACCGCACCACGGTAAAGTTAGTTCTATTTTCGATATTCGTCTTTTCGGCGCTAATAACATTTGATCGGACTGCGGTAGTCAGCAAAGACTTACATATTCATGACAGTACGACCACGGAGAGTGATGCACACCTGTTCTTTTACAGTTTGGGTGACATTTAACGTGCCGCTATTTTGTGTTAATACCATAGAACTGAGACAAGTATTTCAGTCGGAAGAAAAAATCACGCACTTCTAGACCACGCCTACAACCATGCACACGCATTTGTTTTCCTCCAAAGCGTTTCAGTGCATTTAAATACATATTTTAATTGTTCATGCTAACAATAGACACCGTCGGACAATAAAACATCAATAGCGCCATAAACACTGTGTCCATGCACATCTGATTAATGGTGTTATTTGCTCTAAATTATGGTTAGAAACACAAACCACTTTAATTTAGAAAAAGGACTTTGAATTAACCTGTAACTAAAATGTACTTGCCAATAATTGTCCTGACAGTACTGAGCGTACCTTACCTGTAAAAACTGATATTACCTGTATACTGATATAGCTAGTTAGCTTGATGACAGAGGTTAAGTAATAGTCAGACATTAGCAGTCTTGAAGGTTCAATAGATCCTTAACCATCTTAAATATTAGTTTAAAAATTGTGTAGGGTAGAAAAGAAAACGTCTTATTTAAGTGGATCAAATCAAAAGTTTTTTTTTAAATCCATCAAACACTGAGTCAGATTTAAATTTTAAATCATTTTTTCATTTTGAATTTCGATAACATTTTAGACATTGAACATTTAAATCAGGAGTGTTTGGTGCAGATAAGTTTCAGTAATGACACACAAACTTTGAATTTTACTTGAGGATGTAATGTAGCTAAAATACTGCTTAGATTCAAAATGCAGCATTCACTGCAATTAATGCAGCTGAAATACTTCTGAAGGTTAAATACAAATGTTAATATAAAGTAATTATTGCAATACATTCAAAACTCAAAAGTTGTGTATGATTGCTGAAACTTACCTGCACCATACACTATTGTTTGTAGTGTTGGGTGTAATACAGCTGAAATGCTACTGAAATTCAAAATTGATAAAAGTTAAAGCAATATATCCAAAATTTAGAAGCTGTGCATCATAGCTGACACCTCACTGCACCATACACAGCTGTTTTAATGTTGTATATAATTGAGCTGAAATATTATTGAAATTCAAAATAAATAAAAATTATAAAAGTAATTACAGTAATATATCAAAATTCCAAAGGCTGTGCATCATTGCTGACACCTCACTGCACTGTACTGAACTGTTTTTAATGTTGTAAATAATGCAGCTGAAATATTATTGAAATTCAAAATACATAAAAATTAATTAAAAGCAATTACAGTAATATATCCAAAATCCAAAAGCTATGCATCATGGCTGACAGTGCACTGCACCATACACAGCTATTTTTAGTGTTGTATGTAAGATGGCCAAAATATTATTGAAGTTCAAAATAAATAAAAATTAATATAAAGTAGTTATCGCATTATATCCAAAATCCAAAGGCTGTGCATCATTGCTGACACTGCACTGCACCATACACAGTAGTTTTTAGTGTTGTATGTAAGATGGGCAAAATACTATTGAAGTTCAAATTAAATAAAACAATTACATATTTATTGCATTATATCCAAAATATATATATAATATAATTGAAATATAATTGAAATTCAAAATATATAAAAAAATTATCTAAAAGAGATATTGCATTAGATCCAAAATCGAAAAAAATTGTATGAATGGTGATACCTAGCTGCACCATACACAGTTATTTTTGGTGTTGTATGTAATGTGGCTGAAATATAAGTTCAAAATAAATAAAAAAGCTATTTCAGCTAAATTATATACAAATTTAAAAACAGCTGTGTACAGTGCAGTGCAGTGTCAGCAATGATGCAGGGCCTTTAAATTTTGGATATATTGCTGTAACTATTTTTATTAATTTGTATGTATTTTAAGTTTCAATAATATTTCAGCTGCATTATATACAACATTAAAAACAGCTGTGTATGATGCAGTGAGGTGTCAGCAATGATGCACAGCCTTTAAATTTTCGATATATTGCTTTAACTTTTATCAACTTTGAATTTCAGTAGCATTTCAGCTGTATTGCACCCAACACTACAAACAATAGTGTATGGTGCAGGTAAGTTTCAGCAATCATACACAACTTTTGAGTTTTGAATGTACTGCAATAATTACTTTATATTAACATTTGTATTTAACCTTCAGGAGCATTTCAGCTGCATTAATTGCAGTGAATGCTGCATTTTGAATCTAAGCAGTATTTTAGCTACATTACCTCCTCAAGTAAAATTCAAAGTTTGTGTGTCATTACTGAAACTTTACTGAAATCTGCACCAAACACTCCTGATTTAAATGTTCAATGTCTAAAATGTTATCGAAATTCAAAATGAAAAAATTATTTAAAATTTAAATCTGACTCAGTGTTTGATGGATTTAAAAAAAACTTTTGATTTGCAATTTGATCCACTTAAATAAGACGTTTTCTTTTCTACCCTACACAATTTTTAAACTAATATTTAAGATGGTTAAGGATCTATTGAACCTTCAAGACTGCTAATGTCTGACTATTACTTAACCTCTGTCATCAAGCTAACTAGCTATATCAGTATACAGGTAATATCAGTTTTTACAGGTAAGGTACGCTCAGTACTCTCAGGACAATTATTGGCAAGTACATTTTAGTTACAGGTTAATTCAAAGTCTTTTTTCTAAATTAAAGTGGTGTGTATTTCTAACCATAATTTAGAGCAAATAACACAATTAATCAGATGTGCATGGACACAGTGTTTATGGCGCTATTGATGTTTTATTGTCTGACGGTGTCTATTGTTAGCATGAACAATTAAAATATGTATTTAAATGCACTGAAACGCTTTGGAGGAAAACAAATGCGTGTGTATGGTTGTAGGCGTGGTCTAGAAGTGCGTGATTTTTTCTTCCGACTGAAATACTTGTCTCAGTTCTATGGTATTAACACAAAATAGCGGCACGTTAAATGTCACCCAAACTGTAAAAGAACAGGTGTGCATCACTCTCCGTGGTCGTACTGTCATGAATATGTAAGTCTTTGCTGACCACCGTAGTCCGATCAAATGTTATTAGCGCCGAAAAGACGAATATCGAAAATAAAACTAACTTTACCGTGGTATTCACCACTCAGTTTACAGCGTTTATACATTAAGACCTTCACTCAAACGTACTCTCGGTCCTCTGATTGGATGTCTGTCTCGTGTTGCAGTGATCGGACGCTGAGTATCTGCTGTAGAGTAAATTTGAACATGCTGCTACAATCATCAAGTAATTGCCGTTCAATTATCCAGTATATACAGCAGTAATAAGCATTCCCTCTATATTCAGTTAATACAACAGTACTTTTGGCGGCACCTTTGGTGTCTCCCTCTGGAACTGCTCTTGAGAATGTTTTCTGTTTACTGCCCCCCAACAGTGAAATTAAACATCCACCCACCCTAAAACCTCATTCACTGTAATGAACTTCACTTCCACAACCAGACATTTCAGCCATAATCTCAAAAAACAAGGTGGACATGACTGATAGAGCTAATAAACACGCCCATCTAAAGCGTTGCGGGTCAAACCGCGCTACTGCACATCACCACGCCTTTTACAGTATTAGTGCTTTATCAGCTCAGTGTGCCTCATAAACAGTAATGCGCTCTGAATTCAGACAAGACACATAATTAAATAAACACATTAAATACGACTATATCTGTATTCAGCGCTCAGTTTAGTGTTTATACATTTAGACCTTCGCTCAAACGCACAGCTATCAGCGTTAAATACGACTAACTTTAATAACTTTAACTTTAATGTGTTCAGCTGAAAGAACAGTTTAGTATCTGTGAAACACATAAAAACGTGCTCTTGTTTTAAACTACATGCAGAAATTCCTGATTTCTGTTAGTTAACTTACCGAGTGAATCCAAAGCGCTGATGTCTGAGCTCTTCTCTCCGTTTGTAACGGCGTCAGATTAAAGTTGCTGTCGGTTTCTCTCTCACTGCCTCCCCCCTCCCCCCTCCACCAGTCTCTGTTCCTCTTCCTTTCTGATATCAACAGCGATACAGTAGCGAGTTGGGATCACTGTCCATCACTAAAGACATGTATTACCACATGAAATGTAAGTAACATTTACATTACATTAAAAGCAGTTTGTTTGTTTACTATAGTGAAAAGCCTATAATAGTAAAGTATCACCATTTTTCAATAACAGTCATTTAAGTTCATCTAAAAGGGGCTCCAACCTTCTTGCCAGACCCCCAGAATGTTATACCATTTGGTCAGTGCCTCCAGGCTGGTGATGAAACATCTACCTGCATAAGTTTAAATCATATGTTATATAAATGTATGAATTAAACATAAATTATATAAAGTATGAATTATATAAATGATGCTGTGGCAGACCTAATATTAATTGGAAAACACATTACTTTTGTGTGATGTTAATTTTAAAATTAATATAAGTATGTACACAACTTTTACTTTATACAATAACTATAAATATCTCATCCCCCACTTTGACAGCCTCTCATCTAAGACAATGAATTGACAGACTTATCCAGTGTGAGTCTTGATGAAAGTTCTTTTTTTACACCAAACAGTCACTGAACCAACAACTGGTGCTGTAAATACACAGTATGTTTCCACTTAACAAGGCCAAATACAGAGAAGCCTTGTTCAGCTTTCAGTAATTAGCCAGTGAGCTACATCAGTCATGTTGGGGCAGGAAATTATTGAAATGGTGCAGAGCTGGTAGGTCTTGTGGACTGTTTTAGACTACTGAAACCTCTTTGTGGGGTAGAAGTATTTAATTTTATCCAGTTTAAGTCTAACTCAGCTTTCCCACTGTTCTTTAGGTAAAGTTTTTCCAGGAATAAATTGTAGAAACTAAGTTTATTTAAATCTGTTGCACTATAACTGCAGATTCTTGGTTCAGAGAGTGAGGAGAACTTGGCCACCATCTTAGAAAAATGTGAAAACCTTCTGATGCCAGCTGGATGTCTTAGAAACATCACACTTGACAACAAAAAGGAAGTTGTACAAGATGTCATGGTAACACTTTATTTGGATGGTCCACTGTAGATGTTTTGCAGATGCTCAGTCTATCTTTAACTAACATTTAACTAAATATCTACGAAATGTAACTCAACTTGAAGTTGTGTGTGAAAGGTGCTATGAGATCTAACCATAACCCTAAACCTGACACTAACCCTAACCACAAGGCAAAACCTACACCTACTCCAAGACCTAACCCTAGCCTTAACGTCTTAATGTTGTTGATAATCAACCAATATCACCAGAAAGTTTGGTAGATCATCTATAGGGGACCCAAATAAAGTGTGACCGACATCATCAGCTGGTATGTTCTTCAGAGAACAAGGACACAGTTTGAAAAGTATGATATATTATTATTGTCCAAAATTTCAGTTTATAATGTGAGTGTAATTTTTTAATGTGTAATTTGTAAAACATCAGATTATGTTGTCCGTATATGTTCATGGATGGACTTCATTCCTTTAGCCTTCTGGATGCAATACAGTCACAACAAAGTAGCTTCAAACCAGTATTTACAAAGGGTGACCAGGAACCAACAGCTGAGACTGTTGAACAGCTGTTCAAAGAGGAACATTCTGAGCCTGGGAGCAACAGATATGAGAAAGAAAATGAAGCTGGCACTGGAGAGATGATCTCTTGGATGTTGAGAACATGTGATTTAAGTATATATTCTATCAGACAGCTGCCAGTTTGTTTAATCTACTTTTCTAGAGCAGAAACACTTAATTCAAATCTAAAGGTTTTATAAAACTTGGTGAGAAATGGTTTATGACATTAGCTGTAACTTGACTGTTTTTCAGTAGGAAAGTCTGTTTTTTCATTTGAAGACATCCTCATCTTTGCCACAAGGAGTGACAATGTGCCAGCATTTGGCAGTGATCCCCTCCCACAGTGAAATTTCTACATGATTTGTCTAAGTTCCCTTAAGCTAAAACATGTTCTAACATCCTTAAAGTTCCATGCAAGGACTCTTATGATGATTTCAAAGATGAGATGGATTTTGGCATTAAAATTCACCATGATTTGGAATGGCTTAATTTGGATCTTTTAAATGACAGTGATCGCACAGTCATTTAATGTAATATAATGACAGCCAGTCATTTTTTAGATTTCAGTTATTGTACTGTTCTCATTAACCTCATTATAGTAATTCAAATAAAATGTTACTTTATACATTCTTACATGTAGAATACGAAGTCAGCTACTTTTAATTCATACAATTTATTTTAAGTGCACATGTTATTCAGACCCTGCTTATCAATTAATAGTCACAATGCCACAAGGCCTTTGACAGCTTTTAATTCACATATATTTAAACCTTTCAAATCTGAAATATGTTTCCATATAATGTACATAATATTTTCCTGTCTGCAATGTAGCCAATAAGGAGGCAAATGATAATTACAAATATATATTTTTAGTTATTTTTAAATGTTTATTTCAGTGGGCTTCTAAACAACTGCGAAGTAGTGATGTGATATGTTCTTTTAAATGCAAAGGGCTTGAACTTGTCTCTAATTTTATATACTGTCTCTAATTTTATATATTCTCCTAAGACTCATGAGATTTCTAAACTCTGTACTAGACTGCTGGGAACTGAAAAGCCTCTCTCTTATTTTGGTCAGTGTTTATTTGTTAAAAGAATAAAGCAAAGTCCAAAGAACAAACTGGGTAGTAAATAGTACAGAATGCAGCTATAAAGCTCAGTATTATTATTTGACTTTTTTATATGCCTTACAAATTCCAATATAAAATTTGACTGAAATGACTACAATTAATGATTCTGCTTCTTTAGTTTAGTATTGGTATTATGTGTAACATTGCTCAAACACTAGAAGACTAGAATATTAACCCAGATGTTTTTCCATAAATACATCCCTAAAACTTCTCTCAACCCTCTCAAACCTCATCTAGGTCTCCATTAGAGTCAGCAGACTTGTCAGTGTAGTGTTGGACACAGAATGACTTACTTTGAACTATAGAAATGAACAAAACCTCACCACTACGGCCATTCTAGGCAACACAAAGGCTGCACAGGACTGATGTTGGAAAAGTAATTATGACTGTCATTTCCATAAAAAAACAATTCTAGCTCAGCAATCCTACTCCTGAGACAGAGAGGTCACCCACGGCACTTACTCTGTGATGACGTTTTGTTCACTTTTATAGCCCACAGTATGTCATACTGTGTTGTACACCACACTGAGAAGTCTGCGCCACCTTAATGAAGACATGAAATGATTTAGGTGAATATTGACTTCTAGTGTTTGTTAGAAATGTTAGCTTCACAGCTCCATTGCTAAACTAAAGACACAAACTTTGGACACCAATTATGTCTTGGCCAAAAGACTACATTGGGGGTAAGCAGAAAATTGTTTAAATTTTATATTTTGCTAAACCATTACTTTAAATAGGTTCTTAGTCATAAAATGAGTGCGGCAACTGATAACCAGGAAACCTGTACATAAATTGTTAACACATAACGTTCTATTCTGTTTGCGATAATACTTGCTTTTTTAACTTGTGCGCATTATTTGACCACTGCCAGTATGTTGTTGTGGCACACAGACGAATCCAGTCAGCTTCTGAAACAAATATTTGTTTGCAAAAGATGACAGTCAGCTACAGTTAATTCAGTAACTTATCGCTGATAGGACATTTCATTGTCTAATAAAACCTCACTAATGATTTCAACTTGTGTAGCCAAAGCTTATGAACGAAGCATCAGAATGACTGCCCCATTTTCCCTGCCTACCAACATCTAGAAACACAGCTGTAGCTTCTGCAGCTGTATAAAAAAATAAGCTAGCTAGCTAGCTAGCGTTAGCTACTCAAATTACCTAGCTGCATAAGCTAACTACTTTCAAATGTTGTAAAATAATCATTAATTGTGGTACTTCGTTTGAAAGTAAAAATATGCTCCTGGCAGTTTTAAAATGAGCCTCGAACTATTTATGTATGTGACTACAAGCTTAGGTAAATATAGCTAATGTAGCTCAATATAGCTAACGGCTAACTTTTACAAATGAGCCCGCGCAAAAATCTAAGATGAACAACGTAGACGCTATATGGAGCGCTACATTCACAATATACAGCTACTATTCACGTTAGCGTTTTACTAGAATGATTATGTGGTGTTTCTAAGAAGTTAATAGCAAATACTTATATAGGGCAACAACAGAAACAGCTAATGTCAGAAAACGCGTGTTGTCGTGATGAACCAATAGCGTTAGCTAGCGAGCTTAGCTTTTATCAGGACCTTCACCATCAATCACACTGAATTAAGGGAAATAAAATGGCCGCTACCTTCGTTAATAAGGTTTTAATTCGCTATATTCAGCCAATACAGACAAATCTTTAAATCTGCATTAATGCCGTGCCCAACCGACCGCTATGTTTCCCGTAGTTAGCACGACTGTTCAGCACTAGCTAACCTTAGCAGGACAGCTTCAGCAGCTGTATCAAATACTAACTAGCTAGCTAGCTGGCTAACATGTACCCTCTATTAGTAAACAAATGATAATACTAGCTAATATTTAAAAAATTCTTTGTAAGCTTAGTGACTCGTATATGGCAAAAGGTCCACCTAAAACGGCCAGCTAACGTTTACTCACCTGGACCAATGTGGACAGTAGCGCTGGGCGCTGTGTCGGCTCGCTGAGGACTTTCTCAGGTGAGGACCTTCCAAAGGGGCAGTGATAGGTGTCCGTTCAGATGGACATCGCGGCTTCTTTAACCCGCTTGATACATCCAACAAACCCACAGCGCTTAAATGACAGGACTGCCTTGCTGACAGTGGAAATGCAGTTGCAAACAGGATTGCAAAGACATTTTCATTTTGGCAGAGCTGAAGGGCCATGATGATGAAATAAAATAAAATGGGCGTTTTTTTTATGTCAGAGTCAGACTGTATTAAGATAATGAAAATGAATGGTCAAAAACGCTGCTTTTCTATATTAAAAGTTTCCAGCTATTATACAATACAATCAATTAAAACGCAAATATGTTTGCATTCAAATTCGAATTGTGTCTTAAATAATGCATACTGCTATGAGATATGCAATTACAAACACCATTTAGCACTTGCATTAAAAGTCCAGAAAATATAGAAAAGCTGATGGCACCATGTTGAATAATGACAACCACACTCCATGTGACGTCATATGGCATGTTCTTTACACCATAAAGACAAGTGAAATATTATCAAGCTTCAGCAATCAACATCTAACATAACAGTAAGCCAAGCTATATTTAACATTTGGTATCTTTGAGAAAAGAAACATAACATAATATCTCTGGACTGGAATACAGCTTTCTTTTTGTTGTTTCTTCTTCTTCTTACTATTACTATTATTATTATTAGTAGTAGTAGTAGTAGTAGTAGTAGTAGTTGTTGTTGTAGTAGTAGCAGTAGGCTAGAAGCAGTGGTACTGGTATTGTTATTATCATGATCGTTATCATTATTTTTGGGTTATAGTGAAACGTCCATTGACGTTATTAACAGATCACCATGGACTGACTTTTTGAAATGGATTTTGGACGTCTATTGACGTTATTAACAGGTCACCAATGGACTGACTTTTTGAAACGGATTTTGGACGTCTATTGACGTTATTAACAGGTCACCAATGGACTGACTTTTTGAAACGGATTTTGGACGTCTATGGACGTTATTAATAGGTCACCAATGGACTGACATCTTTAAAACTGATTTTGAATGTCTATGGACGTTATTAACAGGTCAGCAATGGACTGACTTTTTGAAACGGATTTTGGACGTCTATTGACGTTCATAACATGTCCCCGACTGACCGACTATTTTTAAACACATTTTGGACGTCCACAGACGTTCTTTGTTTACTGAGGTGGTATTCCTGTGGTACTGCCAAACTGAAAATTACAACTGAGGATTACCAGGATTACCACAGTACTCCCTAATGTAAAATATGAGAATATAACTATGTAAGAAAGAATATAAGTATGTCCTCAAGAAACAGTCTGCTGTAATCTTATGGTTTTTGTGTGATATTACTAAAAGAACATTCACTAAGGTTTTACTTGCTGTACTTTTGTGATTCTTTTTTTTTATGTTTTGTTTTTTGATTATTGCAGAAATGTGTTTACAGTGGCAAAATAGCAAAAGAAAAAATCAATTCTTATACCATTTACCTTACCTTAAAATGTTTAAACCCATTTCCTTATATCACTGAAGTTCATGGTAGAATAACTTTTAATTTGTAACATTTACCAATGGAGATAATCACAGTCAGTCACAGCCTTTTGCTCATTTGCAGAAAACGTGCTATGATTAACACAACATTGATCTATTTTCAAATGTACAATTGTAACCAGAGGCAACAAGCTAGGAACCAAGATAAAACAACTTTGAGCTAATAGGAAGTAAATGTACTTAACAGCTAACCTGAGTACTTTAGAGATCACATACCACCAAAACGTAATGCAGAAAAAGCACTTGGTTCACTCTCTTCAACATCTACACTTCTGTTTATTTTCTTAAGCAGATCAGGGCTGCCCAAAGTTAGACTTTTAATTTGTATAACTTTCAAAATTATTATCTCCAGGTATTTGGAAAACACGAACAATAATAAACAAATGTATTTGAGTAGTAATATAAAGACCTATATTGTTTCACCACGTAAAATACATAATAAACAGATTTTTGTTTAAATGTCCAACTTCATATTTTGACTTTAATATATTAAGACATGGCCTCCAGTGATGCTGTATAATAATGCTGTACAGCTGTCTCGTGTATTTCAAGAGTTTGCAGTTTTCTATTCTGTGTCTAGATAAAAAAAAACAAAAAAAACAAACAAAAAAAAAACAGCACAGTTCATTCAGTACAGCAGAGGCGCGAACCAGAAAAAGCTCTATGGGAGGACAAACAAAAGACTGGCGGGAGTTTAGACCAATCAGAGCGCGAGACTCCGCCGCTTGGACGTTCGGTTTTGAAGCGCGAGCGCTCTCCGCCGTTCCTTCGTTTAAAGCCAAGCGCGACTGTTACAGCCGTTTACAGTGAGTGGGTCTCTCAGGTCGCTAACGCGGTCAGTTTATCGAGTTTGTTTAGCGAGTGTTAAACCTCGATAAGACTCTCTTACACTCCTTACTGAGACAGCGCCGCCTGCTGGGTGATGCTTTCAGCTCCCAACAACGAGGATTTTCAGCTGCGTAGCTGACTGAAGTTAACTGACCGGACCGAGTGGAGTTACGGCTGGAGTTACGACTGGAGTTACGACTGCAGCGGTCAGACTCTGCTTGCAAAAGGTGAGTAGTGACCGAATGAGATAAGCAGCCTCTCTAAATGTCAGCTGGAGTAAACTTCTATTTCTGTATTTCTGGGTCGATCTGCCGAGTGAAGACACCAGCGGTAGGTTAGCGTATGTAGTTAGCTAGGTTAGCTAGCGGCTAAGCGGCGTGTCTGTTTACACCTCGCGGCTGCGTCAGATGCCGCTTAGCACGCGCTCCAAATGAAGGGCTGCCTCAGAATTATGTGAATTATGTGTTTTTCATTGTTATGTCTTGCTGTTATTGTTTTGCTGCATTTACCTCATGTGTCTGTTTTGTTTTAGATGTTTCTCATCAGAAATCATCTGAAGCTGAGCAACTGGTGAGACTCAAGTTTTAATTTTTTAAATAAAACTATAAGAATGTCAGACAGATGTTTAGATTTGGTGGGTATTTCAAACAAATATATTTCATTAAGTATTTATTGTAATACAGAAGAGCAGAATGTTTAGGTAAAGCTGAGTTAGAGTACTCAAATATCTGCGCTTTGTTCATTCAATTTATTAATATGTTATTTGCCATTACAGCTGTGTTCAAAATATCGATATGGCAATATCACCAACACTGTATCAATATTTATGAATTTACTTCTTCACAGTGCTTTATGTGTAATACTGCAAGTCTCAGAGCCCTACAAATTAGAATAAAATAGAGTTCAGCTCTTATTAATAATCATTTCATGTCATAATTCTCTGTGAGAGAGATTAGAGGCATTGAACTCTTCAAACGTCTGGTTCTTGTCACTGCCACTATGAACAACTCTGACTCTGTAAGTTTTTCCACAGTGGAACATTTTGTATCAAACTACTTTTTTGCATCTTAATGATGAAATTGTGCTTAAAAATCATGTAATTCTCCTTTAACACAGCTTTTAACAGATACAGATATCAGTACTAAGCTCACACCTGCCTCAATAGCAAATGATCATTTCTGTCACGTGTTGACTGAGGCATGTTAGAGGATGAAAACAATAGAATTGTGAATTATCTAATCAACTTTGTTGTTTTCAATCCTTCCCAAGGAACATTCTCTCTTTGGGCCTCATCCAGTATGGTGGCAGTCCATATCATTTTCAACACTCAACTGTGCTCTTACACAAGTGGCCTCATCCTGATGCTTCTTTCATTACACTGAACATCATTGTCTGAACATCAGCTATGCATGTGAGCTGGGTGCCACGCTGGAGTTCATGCATAGGTGTTATTTAAAGCCTTGCCACATTTCTTTGTGTACTAAATGCCTGAGTTGATTTTAGATGAGTAAAATTATGTATACTGTACATTATATTTTACTTATAAAGGGAATATATAATGCTTTCCCGTTTTATTTACTGTGTTATGTAGCTTTTTGTGCATGTAAGATACAAAGCTGAAAGTATATGCCAGAGGGAGAAACTCTTTCCCACAGAAACCACTTTTCTCAGCTGCCTGAGGGCTGGAGTTCCCCAGCCCTTTTCCTTTGTTACAAGATGATGTAATCCCATAACACAATCCTTATTGCCCACGTACCAGCGAGCTTGGCACGCCCTCATGCAACGCATCTACCGGAGCCCGTGTATTGGCGGAACCGCTCTGGCGCTTGATCAGTCAGAGCCAAGTGAGCGAGCTAACTAATCTGAGCATACTCGGCTCATCAGGAAAGGGGGGCTTAAAGACACAGGAGCTCTAACAGAGCGTTTCAGACAGAGGGTGAGTAAACAATTACAGTATGAGAAAAATAATGTGTTTCTGGAACACTGAAGCATGTAAATGTATTATAGTCGACCCCAAAAATAAATTTATGAACATTGGAAATTGGCATAATAGGTCCCTTTAAATTCAGCCTGCTTGTGTATGCAGATCCAAAAGTAATTTCAAATTTATTGTCTTAAAATTGATTTTTTAACAGATGCATTTTCCTCATATCTCTGACAAAAAAGACCAACACTGAGAAAAAACAGAGGAAGGAGCGATGGGCTGTGAATTTGACAGCTCTCTCACTCATCACGGATTTAACTCTAAAAGGAGAGATCGGTAACATTAGCAGTGTGATATCAGTAATGTTAGTGTTCAGGCATTATGGCATGGACATATGCACATTGAGTTATCTGTGTCCTGTTTCCTGTGTCCACATATGTCCACATAAAATGTCCACAGCTTGGCTCTATTCCAGCTCCTAGCACATCTGAGTCTGGTATTAATTGTTTGACAGCTGATCATTATCTGGCTCAGGTATGTTAGGAGTGCTGCTGGGGTTCAGACCTCTGTATTACTCTGTTGGTCAGGTTTTTTTAGTCCATATGAATTTGTCTTAAAATTGTTTCCTATCATTTATAATTGTTCATAGTACTATATTGCTAATAACTTTAGCATAACCTATATACAGAGTAACAGCAGACCTTAAAATCAGATTCATTGGTTTGTGGAACTGTGTATTTATTGCAGTATATTTCAAATTTCTACACAAAGTCAGTTAACATGTTTTTCCCCGTCTGTAGAACATATCAAGTGTGATGACGCTATTGTACTATGCACATAAACAGTTGTAAAAACAATAAACAATAACTGTAATCTATATTTTTTGAAAGCTATGTGGGTGCTTTTTCATGGGCTATGCTTTGGATTGCAGAGTAAATTATTTGAATGTAGAATTGTTCTGAATTTTTAACAGATTTACAAGGAAATACAAAAATGTAATATTCCATACCCCTTTTCCATACCCCTTTAAATTACATTACTGTAATCTAGGCATACTTATTATTGTTCTTTGTTCTCCTTCTTATTATTATTTTAAAAGTTGATACAATGATACCTTCATTAAGAAATGAAGCAACTGTCAAATAGTAATTGTAAAAACATGTATTTTTAACACATTTTTAAAACATTAAGGGTTGATTACTATAAAAAGGTATTTAAAAGAACTGAATTAGATTTTTAAATTTTGCAGCAACGCTGTATTACATAATAGTTGCATAAGAGTCTTCCCTCATACTACCACCATGTTGAAGGCATAGTCTGAACTCACAAATAGATTTTCACTGATTCCATAAGCTTTTCTAATGCAACTGAAACATTTAAAGGCGAATTCCACATTTTTATGCATTTCATTCTGTCCTTGTGATGTAAACAAAGTCATTTAGTGGTTTCATATAAAATGGCTAATTGTAGAGAAAGTTACAGACTGGGAACCATGTGCCTATAATTATTATTATTATTACTTTTGTTGTTAAATTTGTTCTGAAATGTATAAATGTAGTATGTACTAATGTATGTAATGTTTGTATGTTTATAGAATAATATACAATATATATATATTAAAATAAGTGATACCATTATGCATCCTACATAGAACAAAAAAATAAATAATGAAAAAAATGTAATCACATAATGTTACGTTTAAAAATTCCCTTAAAAATATTTAAAAGTAAAAGATTTATTTAAAAAAAATGTAGGTAAAATTTAAAAATACGTATTATGCATCCTACATCTTGAGACATCTTGGGATGTTATTATTGCCAAGACATCTTAAGATCCGTGTCTATAAACATGTCTTAAAGACATGTCTTCATTTCTTAAGACATGCCTCAAGATGTCCTAAGACGTCTTCATAATGTGTCTTTAGACAAAGACAACAGTCCCCTTACTCAGCTGGTCCTGAACTACACACTAACAGACACTAACACACACTCACACACACTAACACACACTAACACTCAACAGACTCAGGACCGGAAAAACACAACCAATCTGATCAGAATCAACCAAATTACAGAACATCTGAGAGAAAAATACAGGGACAATTGGGAAACTAAAACAAAATCACAAAGTAAAATGCAGTGCTATCTGGCCCTAAAAAGACAGTACACTGTGGCAGAAACCCTGAGCACAGTGACTGATCTGAGGCTGAGGACCACCCTGACTCAGTCAGCATAGTCTGGCTGTCAAGACCGGCAGGCACAGGAGATCCTGGCTGCCTCAGGAAAAAAGAACATGCCAGCAGTGTGAACTGAATAAAACAGAGACAGAGCTGCGCTTCCTGACTGAGCGCCCGGAATTCACTGAGATCCAGAAAGAGTTCTTTACAAAAATTAACAACAAACATCTCACATTTACCAGCTTCTCTAACACAGAGAAACTACCGTATCTGTTAGGGGAGCACAGAGAGTTGCACACTCACAGCTCAATACACCCTGACCTGCCACACACACACACAGAAAACTCCGAAAACACACACACACACACACAGATATACACACGCACGAACATGTTTGTTTTTCATGTATTGATTATTGTTTTATTTTTATTGTATCCTGTCTTTTTAAAATTACAGCTCTACAACTTAGCAATTTTGCAATGTTTAACATGTTAAGATCAAAAGAGTCCTAGACTCTAATATGTTCACCTTAAATCGTTGATTTCTGTTTAAAAATCTCTGGCAATCTTCGGCAATACAAATGTAGCATATTTGTCATGCCAATAAAGCACTTTGAATTGAACTGAATTGAGAGAGAGAGAGAGAGAGAGAGAGAGAGAGAGACAGAGAGAACAGACAGAGAGAAAGAGTTCAATTTTGTTTTTTAAGGCACTGCGTTCTGTGTGTGTTTTCTGTGTGTTTTCTTTGTTTGTGTGTGTGTGTTCTGTGTGCATTTGTGTGTGTGTTTTCCGTGTGTGTGTGTTTTCTGCGTGTGTGTGTTTTCTGTCTGCATGTGTTTTCTGTGTGTGTGTGTGTGTATGTGTGTTTTCCATGTGCGTGTTTTCTGTGTGTGTGTGTTTTCCGTGTGTGTGTGTTTTCTGTGTGCGTGTTTTTTCTGTGTGTGTGTTTTCTGTGTTGTCTGTGTGTGTGTGTGTTTTCTGTGTGTATGTGTTGTCTGTGTGTTTCCTGTCTGCGTGTATTTTCCGTGTGTGTTTTCCATGTGTGTGTGTTTTCTGTTTGTGTGTTTTCTGTGTGTGTTTTTTGTGTGCGTGTGTTTTTTCTGTATGTGTTTGTTTTCTGTGTGTGTTTGTGTTTTCTGTCTTTTCTGTGTGTGTGTGTGTGTTCTGTGTTTTCTGTGGGTGTGTTTTCTGTGTGCGTGTGTTTTCTGTGTGTGTGTTTTCTGTGTTGTCTGTGTGTGTGTGTGTTTTCTGTGTGTATGTGTTGTCTGTGTGTTTTCTGTCTGCGTGTATTTTCCGTGTGTGTTTTCCATGTGTGTGTGTTTTCCGTGTGTGTTTTCTGTGTGTGTTTTCTGTGTGCGTGTGTTTTTTCTGTATGTGTGTGTTTTCCGTGTGTGTGTGTTTTCTGTGTGTGTCTGGGTGTTTTCTGTGTTTGTGTGCGTGTTTCTTATGAAATTCACTCAGGAGGTTATTTTATTTTAAACACAATGAGGAGTCATCATCAACAAAAAACCCAGCGCAGAGTGGTTCAGTGAATGTGGTGTAGAATGTGTGTAGGTGTGTCCGTGTATCTGTGTCAGCAGAGACGCCGTAGAAGGACAGAGTGCCGGCCGGACAGTCCACATACACTCCTACTCTCTTACAGCTGGAGGGAGGAGCAGAGAGTTCAGTTCTGTTCTTATTGTGCCAGACAGAGTAACTGATATTAGAGCAGCTCAGAATCCAGGACTTTTCATTCCGTCCAAACCAACAGTCAGCACTGCCTCCTTTCCTGCTGATTGATTTATACGTTACTGCTATATGAACCCACCCGCTCCACTCAGCCTCCCAGTAACAGCGTTCAGTCAGACTCTCTCTACACAGAACCTGCAGATACACATCAAATCTCTCTGGATGATCAGGATACGACTGTGAAGATCCCACAAACTCCACCTTTCTGTTCCCGTCAGACAGAGAGAGAAGACTGTTCGCTGTGTTTGGATCCAGAGTGAACTCACAGGAATCTGCACACAAGAAGAGACATTAGAGTGTGTTTCTGTGAGCATGTTGGGTTTTGTAGTTTACAAGGACCTTTCAGCTGATTCGATTTGATTTGTGCTAGTTTAGATGTTCTCTGTCATTTATGGGGTTTAAATGCCTGAATATGCGCTAGTTTAGTCGTTCTCTGTCGTTTATGGGGTTTAAACACCTGAATATGCGCTAGTTTAGTCGTTCTCTGGCGTTTATGGGGTTTAAACGCCTGAACATGCGCTAGTTTAGTCGTTCTCTGTCGTTTATGGGGTTTAAACGCCTGAATATGCGCTAGTTTAGTCGTTCTCTGTCGTTTATGGGGTTTAAACGCCTGAATATGCGCTAGTTTAGTCGTTCTCTGTCATTTATGGGGTTTAAACGCCTGAATATACGCTAGTTTACTCGTTCTCCATCGTTTATGGGGTTTAAATGTCCGAATATGGGCTAGTTTAGTCGTTCCCTGTCGCTTATGGGGTTGAAACGTCCGAATATGTGCTAGTTCTCTGTCGTTTATGGGGTTTAAATGTCCGAATATGGGCTAGTTTAGTCGTTCTCTGTCGTTTATGGGGTTTAAACGCCTGAATATACGCTAGTTTACTCGTTCCCTGTCGTTCATGGGGTTGAAACATCCAAATATGCGCTAGTTCTCTGTCGTTTATGGGGTTTAAACGCCTGAACATGCGCTAGTTTAGGCGTTCTCTGTCGTTTATGGGGTTTAAATGTCCAAACATGCGCTAGTTTAGTTGTTCTCTGTCGTTTATGGGGTTTAAACACCTGAACATGCGCTAGTTTACTCGTTCTCTGTCGTTTATGGGGTTTAAATTTCAGAATATGGGCTAGTTTAGTCGTTCCCTGTCGTTTATGGGGTTGAAACGTCCGAATATGCGCTAGTTCTCTGTCGTTTATGGGGTTTAAATGTCCGAATATGGGCTAGTTTAGTCGTTCCCTGTCGTTTATGGGGTTGAAACGCCAGAATATGCGCTAGTTCTCTGTCGTTTATGGGGTTTAAACGCCTGAACATGCGCTAGTTTAGTCGTTCTCTGTCGTTTATGGGGTTTAAACGCCTGAACATGCGCTAGTTAAGTTCTTCTCTGGCGTTTATGGGGTTTGAACGTCTGAATATACGCTTGTTTAGTAGTTCTCTGTCATTTAGGGGGTTTGAGCGCCTGAATATGCGCTAGTTTAGTCTTTCTCTGTCGTTTATGGGGTTTAAACATCCGAATATGCCCTAGTTTAGTCGTTTGCTCTTGGTTTGGGGGTTTAAACATCCAAATATGTGCTAGTTTAGTCGTTCTCTGTCATTTATGGGGTTTAAATGTCTGAATATGGGCTAGTTTAGTCGTTCCCTGTCGTTTATGGGGTTGAAACGTCCGAATATGCGCTAGTTTAGTCGTTCTCTGTCGTTTATGGAGTTTAAATGCTGAATAAGTGCTAGTTTAGATGTTCTTTGTCATTTATGGGGTTTAAATTCTCAATATGCGCTAGTTTAGTCGTTCTCCGTCATTTCAGAAAAGTCCAGAAAAAGGTCATTTAATATTCATATTTAATTGGCTGTATGTATTTATTTGTTTTAGGTTAATGTGGTTTAATGTGGTCAACATGTTCTGTTTTCTCTCGTAGACTGTGGAGTATTCAGCTGTGTCCATTCTGATAAGGGAGGTTTTCTTTTGGATCACAGAGGAACTAATAACTAAACATGAACCTGAAAGGAGACAGAAAATCTATCATGATGTCCTGAAAGTGCTCATGTCTGAATTTCATTACAGTGGAAATGTTTTTAGTATGAATGATATTACTCTCTCATTTAGCTCTACACTGGACAGCCACTTCATTAAGTCCACCTCCTTGTTTCTGCACTCAGGGTAACAAAGTATGCAGAGAAACAAATGGACTACAGTCAGTAACTGTAGAACTACAGAGTGAAACTGTGTGGTCAGTGGAGCTGATAAAGTGGACAGTGAGTGTAGAAACATGGAGGTGGACTTAATGAAGTGGCCTGTCTGTGTAATATGTGAGGACATGCTGATGTGCTAATTAATGGTTTTCTTTTGTTTTTGTGGTTCTAGAACTAAAAGTTATCTGTTATGCTTTTTTATATGTTTCAGTGTTGATGCTGCTCTGGAAGACGACTCTCTCTGGAGACTTGTGGCCATGTTACCCCAAAATGAAAAAAACCATCTGTGTTTATTTGTTATAAGGAGCACTAATATGGAGATGCAGGGTATTTAAAGATGAACATTCACTGTGAATGAAAACAACATTAACTGATGTTTTCATTTATAGTCTTTTTCTGAAACTTACACATTGATTCTCATAATTATATATTTACAGATGGCAAATGAAAAAGACGTACTACAACCACAAGAACAGCGTCTAATGCAGCCAATAAGATCATGGTTGGAACCCTTTTACTTCTGTTTCTGGAACATTGCTGAGACAGATGTTCTGGTCACATATAACCCTCTGGTGACCGAGAAGGACCAGTTCCAGCCTGAGGAGCAGCTTCCACAGGTTCCAAAAGACGCAACACAAAAGGTAATTTAGAGAAACTGTTACTGTAACTATCAGAAAAATGTTAGATGTTTTGTCAGAGTCACAGTGAATGAAGTTCACTCACCGTTAAGTGTTCTGTTAAAGGGCCCAAATCATGGAGAACTGAATTTTCTTCACCTTTTTAAATAAGAGCTGGATGTGGTGTTTGAACACTGTCAGAGTCGCTCCCAGACCATTCAGTCA